TCCAAATTGAGGTGTGCTGTAAGTGTAAAATACACATTGGATTCCAAGGACTTAATAGGGAAGAAAGGATGTAAAGCATCTCGTTATAATTGTTTAAGCACATGTAGAAAGACACTATTTTGGATGAACTGAATTAAATATATTAACACTAATTTTACCTGTTTCTAAATCTTTTTAAAAAAACATCAGTTGCCCACTTAAAAATTACCTATGTAACTTGTATTATATTTCAGTTGGATGTGCTGTTCCAAAGAATCTAGAAGGAGACTCGTCTTTCCTTGGCTTGGCTCTGTTTCTCACACACTCCTTGCCCCATTTCTCTCATCAAACCACTGGCCCAAGCCAGCTCTGCCTGGGAGACTATGTAGAGAAAAGGACAGAAGTAAGTGGGAGAATAATATGGTGCTACAGTCTCCAGTTTTGGGTTACATCCCTCCTTCTCTTGTTCCCAAAACAGAGAAATGGTGGCTCTTATTTCATCTTTGCAATCCTCACCATTTGGCCATGTTGGCCAAAGTCCTCTTTGCTGGTTAGATCAGGACAGCTAAGAGTCCTAGTGATGAGTGAGGTAGTCAGGGATAGTGGAAGGAGCCCTAGGACGTCCAAGGAAGAGCTGAATTTGAGTCTTGTCTCTGCCACTAAACCTGACCCTTATCTTAGGCAGGGGACTTTCCACCCCAGACCTCGGTGTCCTCATCCGGTCCTTCCAGCTGTTGTGACATTCTTTGGCCAATACCCAGATAATTCCTGGAGAGATGTTAGGACAGCACTAAGCCCTGTGGCCAGGCAGGAAAGGCCAGCCTCACAGAAATTTCTAGTTACTTCCCTGGATTATATTTTTAAAAATGAAGAAGAAACAAATGATATCTCCACAGAAATCATGGAAATAAATGGAACCAGAAACAAAAGAGAGGGGTTCTGTGGATGTTGCACGGGGGGAGGAGATGCCTACACCGGTTTCCTTATTTCCCTATTTATTCCCACAAATACACAATCTTGTTGCTTTGAATAACACACTGAGGTTAAAATTTAAGGATGGCCCCTGAGAACTGCGACTTTCAGACTAATTGTGGTAAACACACAAAGCTAAAATGAAATAAAACCCCTCCCACTTGCCTATTTATCTCTCATGGCAACCCTTTTCTGGTCTCTTCCTTCTGTTCCAGACCTTGTCAGTACCTTCTAGTTTATGGAGTTCTTCTGTCTGTGGATTCAGTGCCTCCAGAGATTGGAATTCCTTCTCCAAAGTTATATCTTATGCACATTAAATATCTCGAAGTTACATACACATGGTTAAGGAACAAAGTAAAAACTTCAGACAAATCTTTCTTCTCCTTCCTACCAGCTTCCTCCTCACTGCAAGAAGGGACCAGGGCTTCTGCAGAGATTCCTGCTCCCATGCCCTTTGCTCTAACCCTCGAGGTGACCTCTGGCTCCAGGGTCAGCCTGGCCCTCCCTCTGCAGCTGCAGGCCCACCTGCCTACTCAAAGCCAGCTCAAGCCCCAGACTAACTCACAGCTGCTCGGACTTAAAACTGAAGCCCTCAGGGGATGCCTTAGAGCAGGGAAGGGAGATGGGGGAGGGAGGGGGGAGAGAGAGACAGAAGGGAAAAAAGAGAAATGGAAAGAACACGAGCTCTCTCTGGGCCAGCTGTGCTTGCTCTTCCAATCTGAGCTGACACAGCAGAAAGAGGGGATGGATGGGGGAAAGGCAAGAAAAGTCAAGGCAAAGCACCGTCACTTGTCTTCCTAACAGCCGTTTTGGTTGGCTTGGGCACAGCTAGCCTCTCAAAGACTTGTTTCAAAGGCAGGGAGTGCGGGTGGGAAAGGAATCTGGCTTCTTCAGTTTTCCATGATCTTGTTCAACCCAGACATAAATATGGCCAATAAACCTAACTCTGGAATTTGACTTCAACATGGCATTTGGACCAGGCTTGGAGTTGAAGCCAAAGTGATGGAAGCCAAGCCCTCAAAGCAGCAAAGGCTGAATTCATTTTCATCTAGGTAATATGTTTTTTCTTCTTTCTTTCCCAGAAGTATATTTTCTAACCCATTTTGCCTCTTATTTCTCAGTGACAAAACTGAAACACAGAACCTACAGCTCCCTACTCTCAGACTTCCCAGACCTCACCAAGTATGCTGGGCTCTGGCCCAGAATCCCACAGGGCTCCTTCCTCAACAATGCCCACGGCAAAGTAGGGACCCTCCTCGATTCCCAGTGTCTCAGCCAACCCTGTATTACTGATCTTGGCCCAACGAAGAGCTCCTGTCTCTCCCATGCCTCCCCCGCATACACACCGCCCTCTGTTTCTAGCTCTATCTCTGCCCTGAACTAGGCGGAATAAAATGCAGGGCCAGGCTGCTCCCAGCACTGGCTCTCTCCACGACTCCCTCTCCAGTTACTCAGCAACGCGCCAGCAAAACAGCAGTCTCAGCCTCATGGCTTGCTTGCTCCTTGCTCCTGGAAGCACTGGCTGCCGGCAGCCTCAATCCTGCTTTCCCTACCACGAATTCCCAAAATGCACTTTTTTGGGGGGGAGGGGTTATAAACTATACATAACGTAAAATATGATAATTTTGGTTATATGTTATTGTATGTAAACATTATTATACGTATATAATATAGTATATGTGTATTGTATATTAGTATATAAAATGCTATATATACACACACAAACATCTCTCTTGCAACCGCCGGTGAGAGGGGGAAATCCACCTTGGAGGGCTGCTCAGATTTGGGTGGTGGGGGAGCTGGGTTGAGGCACAGGAATTTTGTCTAAAGGGCCCCAAAAGGACACTGTCCTCTCTCGCTGTCCATTTTCTTCTTCTTCTGTGCCACCTCCAACTTTTTAGAGACCCTCTCGCACCCAGTCTGGCCAGCAGGAACGAATCCTCCCGGGCCGCGACGGAGCACCGCCAACCCGCAACTGCAGCCTGCCAGGCACCTGCCTTCTGCCGAGCAGGGTCGACGCTCAGGGCTGCAGCTGGGGCGGGGCCAAAGAGGGGCTGCTTCTGGTTGGCGCAAAGGCACCTCGAAGATGGGGGTCGGGAAGAGGACTTTAGAGAATTCTAAAGGGACGAAAGTCGCGTGTGTGTGTTTGCGGGCGCACACGTGGAGAGGTTGAATGGGAAAGTTGGACGCGTCGGCTTTGCTGTCCCAACATTTGCGTGCGCGCCCGCGCCCTGCGCGCACACTGACGGTACCGACTACAGCATACCACCCGGAAAATAAAAGTGGGACAGAATGCTGCTGCACTATAACTTGCACATTTTTTATGCGAATGGATTATTACCCGAGCTCTACCTTCCAGGCCAGGCAACAAATCCGTACCTTTCCACAATCTACATTTTAAAAAGTAACTCTACAAATCAGTCGCGGCGGCTACCGGAGCTTGCCAAGTTGTCCCCTCCTCCCTCTTTTCAGGCTGCAACCCGTTGAACGACTACCTATTAAAAGGCCGAGGGGCTGGCGCTTGAGACAGTCAAACCTGCTGTTCGCGGGCTGAGGCTGAACCTCGGGAGCTCTTCCGCTGATTGGCAAGCGCGGAAACTCTGCTCTTACGGGACAGTGTATGTGGTTTGCATTTAAGGAAACTCAAACTAGGGTGCTTGTGAGCAATTAGGTGGGGAAGGGCCTTGTTCCAGTAAGAAATTATGCCAAATAAACATTATTTAGCTGTCTTAACACCTTTAGGAATCAGCAACCAAGTTGACTTCTCAGAACCCAGATTTTTGTATATCGTTTGTAAAGTTAAAAAAAAAATGTGTGTGTGTGTGTGTGTGTGTGTGTGTGTGTGTGTGTATTTTTTTTTTCCTTCTTCTTCAGGGAACTCCAAAAAGGAAACCAGTATAAGCAGGCAGGACTGTTTTGATTGAACAAGAAGGTTCTGTCAATCATTTAAACCCTAGACTCCTGGCGCCCAGAGTTTGGGGGCGGGGCATTTGGGGCGGGGCAAATGTAAGGGAGGCTCCGGGTGCGTGGCTTTTCTGTCTCCGCCCTTGAATTTTGCATTCTGTATTTCTAGGGCCTCTCTCGCATTTCAGCCACACCCACTCGTGATCTGGTTTGAGAGATGGGGGGCGGGGTTGGGGGCCATGGTGGAGTGGAGTGGAGTGGGGGTCGCGGTGGAAGGATAGGGGAATCGGCACTGGTCGGGAAGTTGCAGATGTCTGTGTCTCACATCCCTCTGTGCCTCCCAACTCTGTGCCCACCCTTCATCCTAGGTAAAATTTGGATCGAAGAGAGGAAGAAGCAATTAGGATTCAGGGACGAACAAACAGGCACGGAACAGCAAAACCTTCCTTCATATTCATTCCCATCCCCTACTCATGCGCTCCTCAAGTACTGTATTCTTTTCATTCCTGAGGCGGCGAAATGGCATTTTGCTATTTAACATGTCTTATGGTCTACCACAATCAACCATATACAGTCAAAAGCAACGAATGCGCACGTGAGAGGGACCTCAAGGCCACCACCCAAAAGGCGTTAGCCATCGAAGATGTGTGTTGGGCTGGGGGACTGGGAGGGACAAGGATGGAATTAACCCAGAAGATGGGTAACGCCTCTCTTAAGGCCTTCGTTAAAGCAATTTTTAACAAAAGAGAGATTTTTCAAATTCAGTAATAAAGAAAGCGCATGGGGGTGTGTTAGGGAAGGAGGGAGTTGATAAAGCAACACACACTCTTTCAGAGTGCATATTAAGTACCAGGGCTTTTGGACCTTGAGATCAAATCCGAGCTCAGCGCCGGTATTCCGGAGGGAGGAGGGTCAGGTGGAGGCAGGGGGTAAGGAGATGGAATGAAAACTGGGATAGGCTGGGTTAGACAGCAGCTCAGGGCAGCAGGATCCGCCAGGGCTCCAGGTTCGAGGTGCAAAACCCACCCCGACTACTCCCAGGATACACCAGGCTCCAAGCCACTTGCTGCGCAAAGCGCGCGGGCCCGACCCGTCCCGCGTCCCCCGCCCGTGCGCCGTGTAGCTGGCACACTGAGCGCGCTCACCGATCTTGGCTTGCTCGCGGTAGTTCTTTTCGTTGAGGCAAACCCCGCGGCCGTGCAGCAGGGCGTGCAGTGGCTTCTCCTCGCCCTGCCGTGGGAGGCAGCGCAACCCCAGGGCGCAGCGCTCTGTGTAGACGCCGCATGTCTGCCCCTCCGCCAGAGCGCAAGTCATGCAGCAGCCGCAGCCCGGTTCCTTGACCAGCTCACAGCCCAGAGGGCTGGGGGGACACATGGAGAGAGCCTTCTCGTCGCAGGGCTCGCAGTGCACTAAGGAACCCAGGCCCTGGGCCGGCCCCGCATAGGCGGCCAGCAGCAGGAGGACCGTGGTGAGCACCATCTTCTCCGAGTCTCCTTTTACCTCGGGGCGGGGCAGGACAGCGAGAGTGCGGGAAGAAACGAGCGGAGAGGGCGCCTGGAGATTTTTTTTCTTAAATCTCCGGCAGGTAGAACAGGTGCCCTCCCCCCAGACACTTGAAAAATGCAAGGAGAGGAGGTTTCAGGGGCCTGAAAGCAAGTCCCTATTGCAAGGATTCAAGACTTGCAACAGGTTGGGGAAAAAAGAGGAGCGCCAGGTGCACGCGGAGTAAGCAGAGGCCGGAGAACCCCCCCAAAGGGATCTGGTCAGAATTGCAAGAGGAAGACGTCACAAAACTGTTCACCCCAAAGCAACCACCGAAATAATGAGCTCGGAGGCTGTAAGAAAAGGGGGTGGCGGGTGGGGTGGGGAGAAAAATGGGTTTGTCTTAAAAAATTTTGCCTAAATCTAAGACACCCCGCTTCTTTCTAACCCTCGGCTGCCAGCGGCGCAAGGCTGCCGCAGACCAGGTAAGAGGCTTTGACTACAGCCGAGAGGTGGGAGAAAATGTTGAAATTGAGAAATAAAAAATTTAAAAAAAAAAAAAGAAAAAGAAAAGCCCCCCCACACCCCAAACCCTAACTCCTCTTTTTCTCCCACTCTGCCACCACCTCTTCGAAATTCGCGTGAAGTCCGGAGAAGGGTGCAAACGGAGGAGGGAGTAATCAAAAGGAGCAAAAGAAGGAAAAAGCCCACAGGGCTTTGCAGCTCTTTCCTAGCTCTTTTCCCCTCGGCAGAAGTTTCCAAAGAGACTGCGGGCTCCAGGCGCGCAGGCGCTTTTAAATAGACGGCCCTTGGCCGCGGGCCAGCTCTTAGCTGCAATTTGAGCTCCCCAACACCCAACCCAGGCAAGGATGCCAAGGAGCTTTGCAGCACAGACTCACACGGGGTGGGGGTGGGGGTGGGGAGAGGCCTTCTAGACACACGGGGGCTCCCCATCGCTCTCGGAACAGCGCCCTCCTCCTCCCGGAATGTAAAAAGGGGGTTAGGGGTAGGCTGGGGCTGCGGAGAGCGGGGAGGAGCTGGAGGGGCGAGTGGAAGAGCTTTCTTCCTAGCTGGGTGAACACAACTGCCTCGGTCTCCCCCTCCCTTCCAGCCTCGAACTTGCTGAGACACAGGCTGGAGGGAGACCCATTTTCTTATTAGCCAACTGGATATATTCTGTGCCCAAGGATCTCCAAGCTTTGGAAAGGGCTGTCTAATACCCAAGTTACCATGTAAGAGGTGTGTGTGTGTGTGTGTGTGTGTGTGTGTGTGTGTGTGTTGTGCACTTGCAGGAAGGGGCATTTATCCATCTGGGTTGTTGGGAGCAGTGAGTTGAAGAGAACTACAGTTTGGAGGAAATGTTAAGTCGGGAAACCTTGCCCGGTACCCTAAAGTATCCTTGCATTGCGTTTTTAGATGCAAGAACCGTTCCGAGTGCTGCTCTGTTTTAAAAGGGGCTTTGCTGCCGGGCAGAGGTGCTCCTTGAGGGAATGGGTGCCAGACCAGGGAGACCTCATCCTGAGGTTAATGGGCGAAAGCAGGCATGTCTCAGGGATATGAGATGACAGGCCCACAAGACCTGCTCCGAAAAGATTCTAACCAGGAACATTATCAGGCCGCTTGAAACCTCAGATGGGCTGTTGGGCACTATGGACCCCTTCTTTCTTTAGTCAAATGAAAGAAAACCAAAGCTTTGAAAGAAGAGAGTGGCACTTTTAGATTTTTATCTGAAATTGACATGAGAGGTGAGCTACTGACCGCTCCGGCAGGGTAGAAAGAAATGGCCAATTCGACACTGCCACTTGTTGAAGTACCTGGGCTGGGGCTGTTGCCCCTGGTGCATTTCCTTTCCTTCCCTGTGAAGTGCCATAGCCTTCCTTTGGAGAAGGGGCTGCATTTCATAAAGTTTGCCACTAGACTGCACCCTTATCTATGATAAGAATTCTTTCTGGAGAAATGCTTTCAAAAAAGTATTTCTCTAGCTAGTTCGATTTAGAAGCATTTCATTTAATGCTGTTCACACTCCCAGATCCCGATCTCTTTTCTCACTTATCTATTTGCCGAAAGGCACATTTAAAAATAAGCTTAAAGTTTAAAGTTGTACTTTTGCTCCTGTTGCCAAAGTAGTTTTAGGTGTTGACTGGGAGAGAGAGGTAGGAATTGTGTGTAATGATTTAAAAAAAAAATAGCAATGCTTCTTTGGATTGCTTCTCCCTTCTTTTTGGAGGCTCAGTAAAGCAAGGAGCAAATTAATATTCAACAATTTGGTTGGAATATTTTAGAAGAGAGGGAGATCATGTATTATTCTCTCATTTGTGTCAAGTTCAGACTCGAAGAGCGGTGACACTGTGCATGGTGTGTGAGCCTGCACTGCACTGCCCTCAGCTGCTCAGCTCACTGCAGGCCGCGAGAGCATCTGAGTGGAGTAGGGAAAGTGGGTACCGGTTCCAAAGAGACATGAGCAGCCTGGTCCCAGCTACCCTGTATTTCCAGGAGATGGTCTTCAGCGATACTGCTTTTTGTCTGGCCAACTTCTAGGGGCTGGAAAATATGGTGTGAGGACAGGTAAAAGGAAGAGGAGATAATTCATAGGGAAGGTGAAGGGGATAGAAAGCAGTAGGAAGAGAATGTGGGCTGAGGTCGTCCTTGGGGAAGGTTAGTAGGGGGCAAGGGGAAAGACTATCTGGTCATGCTGTAAGAAACACTATCTGGTCATGCAGCCATTCTTAATCTCTGCTTTGCTCTTCACCTGGGCTTAGGCCTGGAGGAATTCAGGGCCTGGAACTGCTATCTCAGTGTCCTGGGGTAGGCTTCCCAAGAAGGCAACAGAGGAAGAAGAATTCTTGGCATCCTGGGATTGTTTATAGTGATTTTGTCCAAAGATAGGGGACTGACAGGGTGAGTTTTGAGTCTGAGAGTCCATAATTAGTATATGACAGTGGAAGTGGAAGGGGTGGATTGTCAGGAGGGCCTGTGCAGGGGTCTCTTGATTACATTCCTCCTCTTCTCCATTCTGAAGGTGCAGGTCTCTTCCCAACCATCTTTAGAAAATTGAGGAAAAAATGCTTCCACCAAGAGTTTCATCAGGAGGGGTTTATTTATCCCTGCCAGACACAAATGTTAGAGCCCAATTTCCTTTCCCAGAGATCTCCTTGCTTGCTGACTTATTTTTATTGCTAGCCTGGAATAGATGAGCTTCGATCCCTTTTAAGCCCATCTTTCTTGTAGAAGTAGGAAGTTAAATATCCACCTGTGCCCTGTTTTCCCAGAGATCACCCTTCTTCTGTCCTTCAAAAGATTAACGGCCTATTAAAACTAAGTTTCAAGAAATATCACCGAGTGAAAGATTTGTGCTATTTGGACTTTTCAAAAGCTGGATGGCATGCTTATATCTTATAAAGTCTACTAGAGTGCTTTTCCTGTGGTCACTTTCTGTGAGTTTCTAAGTAATTCTAATTACTTATGACTGCCTGGTATCACAGGATGGAGAAGCTCACCTTTTTAATAGGACCCAAAGTGTCATGGGTTCTTTGGGTTGGAAAGGTTAAAACACCGGTCAAGGGGCTTGTCTTCATTCTCTCTCAGACAGGCTTATTTATACCATTGTTTCAATTTTTAAGACCTCATGACCCCAACTTCAGTGTCTTTTGGAGAGACCGGTACATATCACATTCACCAAAGCCGCTGTCTCATCAGGGTCCCAAACCAAGGAATAGTGACCAAGAGCAGCCCTCATGCCTTATCCTGAGCAAGGGAGTTTGCATAGTCCTGAAGTCTTGTGCAGAGGAGCCACTGAAAGCAGCTACGTTGCAGTGATGTCGCTGAGGGCTAGGTGGCAGGATAGATACATCATTAAAACACACCTCCTTTCCTGGAGGGAAACAAGTTGACCAGGAGAAGAGTTTAAGAATGGAGGTGGGGTTACAGGGGAACCAAATGCTTGGCTAGGGGGTCATACTGTATGTCAATAACCTATGGGTTCACTGATATGCCACCCCAGCCTGGGGACTACGCCACTGTCCCGAACCACACTGAGCTGCAAAATCATCCCAACAGCTGCATTCATGGTTACTTTCCCTTGGAGACCAGGCACAGGCAGCTCAGGACTTGGGGAGCATTGGATTCATCAAGGGATGTCCTACAGCTTCCTATGAACAATTACAATGTGGTCTTCAAAGTACACAATTAAAAAAAAATTAAATGTTAATTGTAGCCTATTTTACACACTCAAGAACAGAAGATAACACAAGTTCTTTTGTACTCCCCACACCATTTTGTATCTGTGAGCATTTTGCCATCACGGTTGGAAATTGGATGAAGAAGTAATGCTCACCTGGTTCACCCCATCACATCCTCTTGGTAGAAGTAGCCACTCTCTTGACATAGTTCTGTATCCTTGCTACACAATGTTTTTCTAGGTTATATATGACTCTTTAAAAATAAAATAGTGCTCAGATGATTTTGAGGGTCAAACCACATGCTACTTAGTTAAAGTTTTAAGTGGTACCTGCTGCAGGAGCAATCTGGTCTAAATGCTCAGGCTGTCTGCAAAAGGAACGGGAGAGAACTGTGAGTCGGACCAATCTGTATCCCTATATAAGCAGTATACAAGTTAATAGTTTTATGAATTGATTTTTAGGAGGCTCTGGAGCAGATCCAGACAGATAAGGCAGAGCAGAGAGAATTCCAGAAATACAGTCATTTTGAGCTGGAGCCTCCTGTCTTCTTGGATCATGGGATCTGGCAAATCCCTACATTGGACAGCTCAGAAATTGAATTAATTTTGGAAAGTGAGATTAACTAGGAAAAGTGATCTGCTGTGATTTGGAAGACAGTGTTGGTAGGTCCCGATCTAGGAAGGAGAGGGAAAAGGTAGGTAGAGAAATGGAATAAGTGGAGAAGGAAAGAGTGTTAGCTGCTTGCAGCAGGTTTAATAGGAGGCCTCTGAACTGTGAAAAGACCAAATAAAATCACAGTGCCTGGTGGAATCCACATTGCATCTCAGTTCAGCAAGGAGAGGTGGTAAAAACCAGCTCACCACCACGAGCACATAGGGCATATTTGTGTGAATTAGAAAAAAACTGCCCTTCTTCGAGGTACTTTCCTGCTAGTCATTGGAAAATTGTTATAAAATACAGATTTTGGATTCTTAAAAATAAGTTCCAATAGATATTTATTGTTGGGCTTAAAATATGTTAATTGTAATGTAACTTAAATTTGTGCAAACATATTAAAGTCTAAATTCCATATGCCTATGTCACTGTAAAATCTAACACAAATGTAAATAAAGTGAACGAAAGCTACCAGCCCAGCAAAGTGCACAATGACAACATTAGTTTATTGTGTTGGTTGATTGTAGGGTTGATGTTTTACTGAAAATAAATCAATATTTCTGCTGTGATTATGGCTTAAACTGTTATAGTACAAGTTTTTGGAGCCTGGCATGCATATGGTCGATGTCTTGTTTAGTGATTTAATTCTTCCACTATTTTTTAAACTAGAGTGGAGTCATGCCTCACAGAGTGGTTAGTTTTAAAGTCAGCTTGCAATATAAAAATTGGGTATAATCAAAATTCCCTATGAAAATTCCTTAAATCACTTGCAAAACAAAACTGTACCACAAAATCTTCACTTTTGCAACATGGCAATGTGGCACTCTGCCTTCACTCAACTTTTTCACTTTATTTCAGGATCGAGTCCACTTCTGCTCTTTAGCCCGCTAGCACATGACGATGCTAGTGGTATGACTTGGCTTT